CGATTCTTTTACTCATTGCTTTGTCCAACAATATCATGTAGATTAAATCAACAATAACATTGATCCACCATTAATAATAGCCTCTCTAAACATTGCTTGACCCAGAAATCAGTAAGCCTCAAACAATACCTAGTTCGTTTCGTTCTTATATTGATTATAAACGTGAAGAAAAAATAAATGTATTTCAGCACTTATTGTTAAATATTTCAAATAATTGTCAATGAATGCCATGTTAATAAGTGATTGATGTCATATTGTATTGTTACAAACAGAATTGTTCCTTCAGGCTAGTTTTATTCATGATCACACAATATATGAGTAGTTTCCAGATCGAAATTCCCTGTACAAGGCCTGTAGGATCTAACAGAATTCTTATGTTTATTTACTCTGTAAAAGGGCTTATTTTGCCAGTGAAGTGCATTTTTTGTTCTTTCAGTATCCGTTACACTATATCATGAATTTGTTATTTTTTTTATTTGATTTATGTTAGCCTAGAGAATGAAGCAACGACCAGTACATATTACATGAAAAATTTGGCCTTTATTCGGATTTGTCAATTGATGTGGACTGCTTCTTTAGAAGAAACAGAACAGTTGTCACTCTTTGCGATATAAATAAGCACGGGTATTAGAAATATGATTACGAATTTTTCAAATGTTGAATTTTGAGGATTTATTAACCAACGATCAACATTTTATTGGAAGACATTTTGAAACCAGTGACAGAATAGCACTAATAAAAAATAAAGTGTATCTGTTTAATGGACATGGTTTTTGTGCTGAATTACAAAATGAACTGCTACAACAATAGATACATTCTAGTTTTTGAGTGTGTTCATTAGTATAAACACAATTCGTTCTTGCTGATGTATTCCAAGCGCAAATAGATTTTCGATAACAATCACGTTTAAAATAAGTTTCGATTCCACGATAAATGATAATTAATTTTCGACATTCGTATTCAATATTTGTATTATCGCCATTATCACTACCACACGTTTGAACTAGATTGGGATTATTCACCGCTGTTGATGTATTTAAATATTTACACGAATCAGCATGATCAGTAATACCGACGAGTGGTTCAACACAATTAAAACATTTTAATATTGAATTTGATCTATTTAACGACGACGAAGAACTGTGATTGTTAGCATTCGTCCGTCTGGAATAAATGAATGTATAAATAGTAAAATAAATAATAAATATTGGATTTTTTTGTATAAAACAGGCTCGAAACCTGACCATACTTGAAAAACAATTTGTTTTCTATAAAATCCTAAAAAAAATTATTATTATTTTTCATTGTTAAAATATAATGAATGCTCGAGGCTCTATCAATAATTTGTTGAACACTTATATTAAAGGCTTTTATTCTCTTAAAATCCTAATTGTTTCAATTTCGAAGTGCTTTTTTTTCTCTATAATCGTACACTTTCTCTTTGCACAATTGAAATTTTTTACTAGATAAAGTTTTTATAGCCGAGTTTTTGAGAAAAATTAGAATTTCTCAGAGACTAGAAATTAACTGAACTATTACTACGAGCGAAATTTCCAATATTTAAATGTAAATATTCAAATATTTAGATTAGAATATCTATCTCACTCACCATTTAAGCCAAAAAGGAGATGTAATGTGATGATAAACCATCTTTACTACTTAGAGATACTCAAAGTTTTTTCAAGTGATTTCTATGAAAAATTTTTTTTATGAAGTTATCTGACTGAAAAATGAGTAATATTAAAAAATTTTAGCCGTAAACTTACGTAGTAATGTATTCAACATTGCATTTCTTTTTTAAGACTAAAATCCATTAACGAGAAGTCATTTTCTTGTTTTTTTCTTCTTTTGAGCGATCTGTGCACCGACTTTTTTTTTTTGCTTAAACAAATTTTCTCCTTTTTATTTCCGAATAACAATAATAGTAATGATATATATATATATATAGTTGAGTGAGTGAGTGTATGTGTGTGTGTTCATTGCTCTCTCTCTATAAATAATAGATTATTTTTTTATTTTTTACTTATTCTAATATTTGTAACACTCCATTCATTCTCTCGATTTTATCACACATAACGAATACCGATGATGATCAACTTATAAGAATTGTTACATTCAACATTCTCCTTCTATATTTAATGCATTATTGTTTGTGAAAAGCGAAAAAATTGTTTTTTCTTTGCCATTTGTACGATGAAGATACTGTTGATGAAATTATTTAACAAAAAAACCGTAGAATGAGTAAAAATACGATTAGAAAAGAAATAATATCAATGATAATCTTTCGATTACTGTCAGTGAGAGCATTACTTGTTCAACTATCAAATATAACAAATGTTTCAGAACAAAACTCACTCGGCCGTATTTTTAGAATAACTTTTTCATTTTTGATCGCGTGGAGTTAATCATTCTCTGCAAAAAAATATATCGAACATATTTCTGTAAACTGTAAAAATAGAAGAATATAGAGGAAATACTTCGAAGCTTCAATCTCGATCACTTTCTAACCCAAAAGGCAACAAAACAAATTTATTTTGAACACAGTGCCATGCGTCGAATTGGAACCAAAATGTATTTTCTGGTGTCCGGAAGTGTCGTCTTCCTTTTCGTGTATGATAGGTTCGCTTTAAACGTGTTTTTATGACACAGGGGCGATTTAACTAAATTTCACCAAAAAAAGGAGACTTTTTCGTCTTAGCACAGAAAAAGAGACGGAGCTATTGAACTTTCCCCCTTGAGATGTAATAGAAAAATTATTTTGCTCTAAGATAAAACAAAACTGATCTCAAAATGTTTGATTTTGGTCGATTTATACAAGTTTTCCTCACTGCCTCAAAACTGCAGTTTGGATACGATGATTTTAAATAAAACTGATAAAAGAAAAAAATTCCGCCCTAACCACTTGTGATTATGAAGAATTTTGAATATAACCGATTGATAAAGCTTTTCAAAGACTGCAAAATGTTTATCTTTTCTTTTTATATTTCAAAATATGAAGGGCTAAGATTAGAAAGACTGTCTTTTGGATTAGGAAGTGATTGAGATTGAAGCTTTTCGCAGTATTTCCTCTATATTCTATTATTTTTACAGTTTATAGAAAATGTTGGATACGTTTTTTGTAGAGAACAAAATGGCGAATCTGTTAAAAGGAACTTTAAGTCTACACGATCAAAAATGAAAAAGTCATTCAAAAAATACGGCAGAGTACATTTTTCTTTTGAAGTACTACTGTCTGTTTCTGAAATAATGGCCACGGTTATTCTTTAAGTAACTTTTGATAGAAGATAGATAGAGACCTGCGATTTTGACTATTCGATAGCCAAGAACTGTACGCATCTTTTCACAAACAAAAGTAATTTTTGAAAAAAGATTCAAAGACCGAATTTTGAGCAGATCTTTGAAAAACAAGTTTGAATCTCTGAGAACTGGCATAGAAATAGATTGATCTTTCTTCATAGGTAAATAGTCCAAAGTATCCTAAGCAAAATGGGAACTAAGCAAACTCTTAATTTTTTCCGGTTCAGGCGTGGCACCGGATTTCCTGAGAGTCCCACAATCAATATTTCTTTAGGTGTGGCAATTTCGAAAATAAATGGAAACATAGGTAATCGACTACACTCTCTCGTGGTAATATTTGTTTTTCAAAACACTTGCAAAAACGTAGTAAAAACCTATATTAGATGAAATAACCCATTTTTGCCTATATTTGAGTAAAATTAAAAAATTCATAACCCAGCCATGATCCATCTAAATTACGTCGGAATATTAAGATGTACTCTATTTTATCTGCTCTATATGATTCAACTCAATAAAAGCTATAAAAGGTATAAAAAAATAGTTTGGTTTCTGAAAGGGTTTTCTAGAAATCTTCTGAAGTACAGTAATATTCTTTACTATCCTCAAGTAAAAAAACATATTAAAAACATATAATTCTCAGAGATCCACACTGGTTTTCCAAAGACCTGCTCAAAATCCGGTCTTTGAATCTTTTTCAAAAATTACTTTTGCTTGTGAAAAGATGCATACAGGTCTTGGCTATTGAATAGTCAAAATCGCAGATCTCTATCTATCTTCTATCAAAAGTTACTCAAAAAATAACCGCGGTCATTATTTTCGGAAACAGATAGTAATTATTTGCTCGAAGAGTACAATTTGAACATTTTCGAAGAATTTGCTGCGCCAGTTATGATACTTAATGTAAATCGTAAAAAACTTTATGATCTACATAGGTTTATGACGTTTTATGAAAATGATTTAATTTAATTTATGTGATATAACAGTAAAAGGACCTGAAATAATTTTCGTTTTAGATATTCTGCATATTAATAATTAAATAAATTATTAAATTATTAATACAACATCTCATATAAGGTTCACTGTACCATGTAGTTACAATAAATATTATAAAAAAAGTCGCTCAACAATCAAGTACGACCTCTATTTTCCACTAGATATCACGACTTAATTTAAAATATCTTATTGTTATACAAAAATGGAAAAAATGTCACATTTTTATATATAGATGGAAAGTCTTCTTGTTTTTTTATTATTTATTTCGTCATTATAAGAGAAAAGAAGATTAATGTCGGATAAGATATCACAGCATCATGTATCAACTGATTATTTGAATGAAAATCGAAATAAAATGTTAAGAAAAAAAAAAGATAACTATGTTTAGTCAAGATCGATTTGCAAAAACCTTTGGTTTCCATTTTATGGCTAAAAATTTCTTATTAATTGTAGAAGTTCTTCTTGACATTAATATTGTGTTCATTTTTTAAAGTAGAACATGATGAGTTGAACAATATACAAGAATAAGAAAAAAAAATTTCTATCAATAGTAAACGATAAACACAATGTATAACAAAAAAATAATAAAGATAAAAATTTGAATTTCGACATTCGAGCATAATTGAAAACATATACGCATACACACGTAAAGCAACATTATCTTAGTTATTTTCTATTTAGTTAATAATATTTCAAATTCTAATTTTCATTTAAGCCGACAAGGATAACAGAATCATTTTTAGTTCAGCTTTACTAATTTTTTTGTCTCGATTAACATCGCAACCATTTAATAATGAACGTTTAAATTGTTGTAAATCTTCATTATCATAATCCTAAAAGTAAGAATTTAAATATCCATTAAATATATGGAGTAATTAAGTAATCTGTTTTTTTTTATATGATTTTTGTACAATGACATTATTTGTGACAAAAAAAAACAAAATAGAGAAAATTACAATTTTATATTCATCGACTCGAGTCTTATTTGAGATGAAGAAAGAAAATTTAATAAAATAGTAATCAGAACATTATAATTTATATTATTTTCAGTAAAATCTCTTTTTCTCTCATATTTTTTAATAATTATTTGAGAATGAAAAACAAAAAGTCTATTATAAAAATGGCAAATCTTTCTATTCTTACGTGAAGGTCAAATTAGATCATAAATTCTGTCACTTTATAATAGATTATTTACTTCAACTAAACATACTTTTTTGACCAATTGTATTAAATCATTAACAAAGCCATCGAGTTCTTCTTCTTCAATAATATCATTTCTGTCCTATATACAAAAAAAAAGAAAAGAAATAATAAATTGTTTGTAAGTTAGTTGTATTTAAAAGAGATACTCTGACATATGTTTTATGTAGTTTGAATAAAAGTCATTTTAACTATAGTTGATAATAAAAATTTGGTATGTGAAAAGTAAAAAAAAAAAAGGTTCATATGTCGGCTAAGATAATCCTGTTGAATTNCGATGTTAATCGAGACAAAAAAATTAGTAAAGCTGAACTAAAAATGATTCTGTTATCCTTGTCGGCTTAGATAATCCTGTTGAATTTGTGACAAAATAATATTAGGAAAAAAAGAATTTATTTTTTAAAAATCAACATACTTTATCATATAATTGAAATACACGATCTAAATCTTGTGAAGTAATCGATGCATATCCCTGAAAGAAAGAAAAGTTGAAGAAAAAAACACAGAATCAAAAGATATATATTTTTACCTTAAAAATTGGTCTTAATAAAAAATTTTCTTTGACAGGTAAGAGTCTAAAAAGAAAAAATGTCAAAAAGACATTCATTATTCCAGGAGAAGTGTTCCTATTTTGAGAAAAAAAAGAAGACAAGACAATCGAATTATTCTTGTTGTTTCAACAAACGAGAAAATGAATTTCTAGACAGGACATATAGACATTCTTACTTTGTCATTTCACTAAATTGTAATTTACCATCACCATTTGTATCAAAAATCTGCAACTTTAAACAAAAAATAAAAACGAAAATGATATAATATTAAATAACATAATATTATCTTAATATTAGATTCTTACAATTGTATCAGTATATTCAATTAATTTTTCTTCTCTTATTGGCTCGTATGCTTTACCACCTTTTCGTTTTTCCAATAATGTTTTAATAAATTGTTTTAATTCATCTGCTTCAATATAACCACTACAATCAATATCAAATTCTTTCCATACTTTCATAAAATCTACACTTGATTCTAATGGATTATCTTTTCGAAATAATAGTAGAAAATTTTCTTCAGTTGGTAGAATTTCAGCTAACTAAAAATAAAATAAAATAAAAAATGATTTTTAATTTATTTTAAACTATTTTGAAATGAAAATAATAAAAAAAAAACAAAAAAAAAACTTACTTCTCCAATTTCAATTTTACCATCGGCATTTTCATCATAAGCTTCAAGAAAACATTCTTTAAGTTCATGTAAAACACTGTCCGGAATCAACTGCAATCATAAAAAGAACAAAAGTTTATGTATAAATAGTAGTGGACAACAAATTTGAAAAAAAGATTATTATTTACCTCTGGTCCCACATCAGTCAGATTAACACTTGATGCTAATTCACGTAAAAGGTCATCTAATTCATGACCTTCAATAAATCCATTTCCTAAATTGAAAAATAAATCTTTATTTATTGTTAAAAAATGTCTATAAATGAAAAATTATTACCATCTGTATCATAATGACTCCAAATTTCCATAAATTGTGCCGCTGTTAACTGTTTTAACTCTTTACTTTGTTCATCACGAAATTGTCGAAGAAAATTTTCGTTTTTTCGTTTAGTAGCCATATTGATGTATATACCTATTCTACAATTAGAAAGCATGCCATTTTATATATTTTGATGAAAATAATTGACAATAACTCTGAGAAAAAAGTGTATGCATGTCAAAATTCAACGAGTATAATAAGAAGAGAATATAAAGGAACATATTTTAAAAAAAGAAAAACTCTTCATTTAAATCATTTATAATCTGAGTATTTTTTATGACAACTAAGATGATAATTATGTAAGACATATAGATTGACATAAATTATGCAAACCTTCAACTTTTTAGATTAAACATTCATTTTTTACCTAAATATATTAGGGATATTCTAATTCACTTATTCGTTGACGATCTTGCAATAGTTCTGTTTGAAGCGCTAGAGGAATGTTTCTCATAAAATACAACTTGAACTTCAGAAACAAACAAGAATAGTGGTGAAGTCACTGTCTAATTTCTCAAATGAAAATATTTTTTTCGTAAACGTAGATAAAACAAAAGCACTACTTGTACATAACGTCGTTGCGCCAAAACATCCTCTTGTTAAATATTGTGGAGCTGTTGTAGGCTAAATTAGAGTTTAATCAGATTTTAAATCTGTCTGAAAATTTGCATAGCAAATTTGAAATTGGAATTTTGCCAAGGCAGATTTAAAATTTGACTAGATTATAATTTGCCTACGACAGAATCATTATAAAATTTGTTAAAAGATACAAATGTCTACGTGTGGAAATAATTGTAAAGTTAGATTGGAGACTTTACACAACGAGGATAAAAATAATACGAAATATATATAATGCATTCAAAATTCTATTCAGAGCCATCCCTATCTCAACTCTACCTAGTTGTCGCATATTGTTACTCTATGCTTTTATTCTTCCTCATTTTATTTGATCGATTAATATCGAATATGTTTATTGTTTAGGTCTTAGAATAGTTTTTGACTTGGATAAATGGGATGATATGATATGATTCCTTAATCCTGTGTCAAATTTTTCTATTTTTAAACTATCTCTGTTGTTGTTGTTGTTAAAACAGAATATGCGTGTGTGAGAAGATAATAATATGTGTGTAATACGAATTTTTTTCACAAATATTTATTAATTTTCTTTTTTACTTTTTCGTTTATCTTGGTCATCTCTACTATCAGAGTAGCAGCTCATTATTTGTGCAGCTAGCGATTAATTTTACTTTGTCAGCCATCTATGAGACAATAAACTGTTTCATGTTATTAAAAAAAAGATAAATTATGCAAGCTAACAAAAAAGTGGATCACGTATGCCATTATGATGTGTATCAAACAATATAATGGTCGAGCACGCTAGAAATGATGAAGTATTTTCACTATGGTTAGATGGATGGATCTAAGTATGTTTCTCAGATAAATTTCGTGATCTATTCTGTATACTTAACAAAACTGATATAAATAGTGTGTGCTTTCCTTTTGTAGTTTTAGCCATATACCCTAGTGAAACTTCTTGTACCTAAGATCTTGGAAACAGAAATTTCAAGATTTTGAGTGGAGTAAGCCAAGATGTTTCAAGATCTTGGATTCTAGAATCTTTCATTCAAGTTCTTGGGAACAGAAATTTCAAGATCTTGCGTGAATTCACTCAAGATGTTGCAAGAGTCTGAGTGAAAAATTTTCTTTACATTTTGTTTTTATTTATGACAGTCATAGCCATCGGATATACGACAATATCGAATCATCGATTCTTCCTTAAACAACTATCGTCAAGAAGGAAAAAAATTCGAACTTATTCTAAGTGTGAAAATATTCGCTCTTATATTTACACAAGAGCGTAAAAACAGAACGATGATTCAAGAATTTCCAAGATCTTGGTACAAGAAGTCAAGAAATTACAAGATGTTCAGGACCTTAACTTCTTGAAATTTCTTGAATTTTCTTACCAAGATCTTGAATCAAGATCTTACTGAAAAAATTCAAGAAGTCATGATCTTGGTTACAAGAAGTTTCATTACGGTAGCTAAATCATACGGCAATGAGCAAATACAATCTAACTTCTCTCGTTTTCTACTTTGCCATCGTGTTTTATACCACGATAAGACACGGTAAGAATCAGTTTCTCGAAAAACAAAACACAGTGGAAAAGTAGTTTCTCATATTATTAAAAATGTGCTCTCTGTCTATATTTTTTATGATTTTCTCAATATCTTGAACTCTTACATAAATTATGTGACAGCCTATTCTTTACGTATGCTTCGGTCTGTACGCAATGATCTTTTTTTACAAGAAAACACATTATTTTCTCTGAATCACTTTAGTGGAAAAAAAACTGAAGCGAAAGAAAGTTTTAAGTAGTATATGGAATCCGTTTTGTTCACTGAGGAAGTACGCCTTTGTATTATGAGATAAAATGCAAAAGCCATATGATATGACGTCTATGAGAGCTATTCTGTCAATGGCATGACATTCTGATTACTACTAGATATAAATACTCTGGCACCTCTTTGCACGAATGAAATAGCTTAAAGACTAAGATGTAAATTTTCTACAAAAATAAAAAGTTAACTTACGATAGTTTTGATTCAAAATGTAAATTAATTAAGTTAATGTTGTTGTAATCCGAAAGTTTATAAAATTAAATAGTGCGTTGGGTATAGACGAACGAAATATTAATAAACATGACATATATCCGTTTTTTTAGATATTGTACAATTGAGCCATGAAAATATTTGCCCATATAAACATGAGTGCAACATTTACTTGCATACAAGATCAACGTGCTTCAGTAGAACTACGCGAGAAATGTAGCTGCAGAAATAGCTGTAATGCTCGCTGGCTGCCAGATTATAACGTACATTTCTCTAGTCGCATACTGATTGAAATTGTGTTTTAGCTCAATCCATCGGACACTTTATTGCCCGATTAATCAACAGCATCTAGCTGCACTGAATTGAAGATAGGTTTAATCTAGATGCAGTTAGATGAAATTTTTATATATTTCATAGCTAGATGCAAGTTAGATAAATGTACTTTTAATCTAGATGCACGTACCCACTTTACGAGTTTTTGTTTTTGTGAGATGTCATTAGTTTCTATCACACACGTACACATAACTGTCCTGAACATAAAACTTCTTATTAAGTACCAACAACTAATGAAAACGAAAGTGAATCTTTTTATGTTATTATTATTATTATTAATATTAGACATCTATGTAAAAGAAGGAAAAAAAAAGAACAAGAATAGAAATTTTCTGTTTTTTTTCTTGTTCTTACTGTTTCACCTAGTAGCAATTGAACTTAGAAAATTATGAATATTAGAATAAGTGTCAGAATATAGTATTAGATTTTTTAATAGTCCGAGTCATAAAGTGTCCATTTGAGAGGGTAACAGTTTGATAATACGTTGTTTTGTTAGTGAAAAAAGACAAAAGAACCGATTTAAAAAAAGACTGACGTAATGAATTATGAAGTGCCAGCTGGTAGAAAACGTCGTACACATCGTTTCTTTCAATTTTCCCAAAATAATTTTTGATATGTACTAATTTAAAATTATCTCCAGTAAAAATCTTAGACTAAATTATCTTATTAAGATCTTGTCCTTCTAGATCTTAATAAGACTTGATGACTCTACTTTCAATCACCCTTTTTTTTGCTCTCATTTATCTGTATAAGGAACACGAAAATATGCGTGATTCTACGGTTATTTTCCTTTCCTTGTACTTGCTCTCTCGAAAGTGTTCAACAACTTTTTAGAGAGTGTATATGTCCATTGTATCAAGGTCCATTCAGGGACCTGAGTAGGTGCCTGACATTAGGGGGGCGGGGGGGGGTGTACACAAATTTTTTTTACGGGTATGGTTATAAAAAATTTAAAAAAAATAAATTAATTATGTTTATTTTATATTATT